CCCTGTGTTATGTGGCGTTTGCATGTTCTCCCTGTGTTGTGTGGAGTTTGCATGTTCTCCCTGTGTTGTGTTGTGTGGCATTTGCATGTTCTCCCTGTGTTATGTGGCGTTTGCATGTTCTCCCTGTGTTGTGTGGAGTTTGCATGTTCTCCTTTGTATTGTGTGGAGTTTGCATGTTCTCCTTTGTGTTTTGTGGAGTTTGCATGTTCTCCCTGTGTTGTGTGGATTTGCATGTTCTCCCTGTGTTATGTGGCGTTTGCATGTTCTCCCTGTGTTGTGTGGAGTTTGCATGTTCTCCTTTGTATTGTGTGGAGTTTGCATGTTCTCCTTTGTGTTGTGTGGAGTTTGCATGTTCTCCCTGTGTTGTGTGGCATTTGCATGTTCTCCTTTGTGTTTTGTGGAGTTTGCATGTTCTCCTTTGTGTTGTGTGGAGTTTGCATGTTCTCCCTGTGTTGTGTGGCATTTGCATGTTCTCCTTTGTGTTGTGTGGAGTTTGCATGTTCTCCTTTGTGTTTTGTGGAATTTGCATGTTCTCCCTGTGTTGTGTGGATTTGCATGTTCTCCTTGTCTTCTGCAGGTTTCCTCTAGGTACTCCGATTTCCTCCTACAGTTAGGTGACATTAGGTAAATTGGTGTGCCCTGTGTGTGTTTGCCCTGTGACAAATTTAGGCAAATTGGTGTGTGTGTGCCCTGCTGTGAACTGGCATTCCATCCATGTGTGTACCCCTGAGCAGCCAGGAGATAGATGGAAAATGGTCAGGGAAATGTATGAAAAATTTAACCATCTAAATTAAATGATGTTGTAGAATAGAAAAAAATATTTCTAACATTTGGGCAGATATTCTTGCTCTGTGTAAGTTATTCCACCTATCTGTGTATCCCATCTGCTTGCTTTTTTAATGTATCACGTTTAATGCCCCCTGTCTACATGATAATATAAGGCAGGCGTGCAAGCTCTCCCAGGGCCTCAATGCGCTGTGTGTGTTTGCTCAGACATTCTACTGTCCATGTGCTCCTGTTTGCCCTCTTCCATCGTGGTTTGTCTTTCCCATGAACCCTTAGGGTTTGTATGCCTTCTTAGGTGTAGACTGGAGGGATTTGTCAGTGTAGATGGACGCTCGCTAAAGTTAGGCCACTATAAATGGACAGATAGGTCATACTGGGATCAGATGGATGTGGCTGTGAGTCGCTTGTCTTAGTACTATTGTTATTCTTTATAGGCACATATCCAAAGTGATTCACAACTACTGTGGTAAAGTTTGCTGTCCTGGGAACTGAGTTATAATGCTCTGTTCTGATCCAAACACTTGCTTGCAACATCGACTGGGTGGAATTGTCTTTTTCTCATGTTCTTATTTCAGTTTATTTTTTTAAATATGATAACGCTCTAATGAAATTGAGTTGCCATAGTCACGGTACACTAACAGAAGGACTGGTTTGTGTCTCCAGTAATAGGGGCTGCTGTTTATACTTTGTGGGGCTATAACCCCACTCAGGGAAGAAGGGCTGCAACTGGGGGCAGTGCCTTGGCTTTAAGTGACTTGGAGCCAGAGTAGAAATCTTGTTTTGCTCAGCTAGTCTAAGCTTCAGTAAATAGACAGGGTTCATGTGAAGAAAAGAAACTGTGATACTGTGTAATATGACATGAGTGCAAAATAACATCTTCCCTGCGACCTTCTGCGGCAATGATGCAGATGTTTCTGTTTCTACTGAAGGTCAAAGGTCATCCTGTCCACTGGCATGGTTGGAGTTACCACAAGGTGGCCTATGTTTAACCTAAATCTGTAAACATGACTAGTAGTCATTAAAATTTGATGAGCGAACATGGATCCTAATTTTAAAGTAACACCAGTGGCTAATCACATCATAGCATGAGTTTGTTCCAGTACTTTGTTTGATAATGAACCAGAAGGAACTATAGATAACATCATATTTGATTTGGATTTTTTGGATACAGTTGAGAGAGTTCATCAAAACCGCACTGTTGTGGCTTACCTAATTTATTTGACATTTATAAAGCTTTTGTGGCTAACATATTTGATTTATTTAACATATGATGATAGAATGCTGTGTTGTTACTAGATTGTACAGGCCTGTAGTGAAATATAGACCCTCTAACGGCCTTCATTTTTTTCTGACTCGCACAACCAGTTTTTTCCTCACCTGCTAAAGAGCTCCTTTTGTTTTCTGATTTACTTTTGGTGCAGCTTTGATACCACCTCTGCCCGATTCTCCATATCCTGATGATCGAAACCACTACCTGGCCTTCACTCCCTGCATTCTGCTTCTGTTCGGAACTCTGCTGAAAATAACGTCACATATATACGCTCTTGGCCTGTTCATTGACCATTTGAGTTTTGCCTTGCTAACACCGAGAAGATTCTCCCGGGCTCTTGTTTTTCTGTCGTTTTTTCTCTTTCCGATTCACACTTTGCAGTGACCTACTGCTCCGCTTCATGGATGCACTGTGAGGACATTGATTTTTGCCTCAGCCTACAGTATTTCCACCTGCACAAACGACAATTCTCTCTAGGGAGGGATGATTAAAGATTCCAAAGAGAATTTGACATGCCTTGATAAACATTGTTGTGTGCTATGCTTTTCCCTCAAAGTGAAGTAGTCTGTGGTTTCTTTTGACCTCGGTCTAAACTCTGGGAAACACTGACTCTTACGCAGACACTCGAGGCTCAGTTGTGCTTCTGACCAGGAGAAGCTGGATAAGAGGGATGGATGATTCTTTCAAGACTTGTTTTGCCAAGCCTGTCTTATTTTTCCTCTTTGCAAATTACAGCGTGAATCACTAGTACAGAAGTACTCTTATTAAATTAGCTTGTAAGACGTTTGGCTAGCTGGCTGGCGCTGTTCTGTTGTCGCTGAGCACTGTTGACCACCTCGCTATGCCTGGGAGCTGTGTGTCTGCCCTATTTGTGGCCCACGTGAATGAGAGCCACGTCATTCCTTGACCCTGATCGGGGCTGTGACTAAGCAGGGGCTCTGGGCAGTAAATGCACCGGATGATTCATCTGCTGGACCATGTGTGATTACAGATGTTAAGAGAACGCAACATGGACTAACTGTATATGGACTAACTATGCAACAAAACCATGAAAAAACACGGGATGCTCTTCAACATAGCAGAAGCATTTCACACCTCAGGCCAAGATATAGAGTGCCAGGCAAGAGCAGACCAGTACTTACTATGTACTTTTATAATGTTTCTGCAAGTATTCCAAACTGCATTTTGCAAGTCTATACTTTGATGTCAAATTACAAACTTCACATAAATTACAAAGTACACTAAGATTAAGATGAGTTTTATGCCAAAACAGATATATAAGAAAAAATTTATTTGACCATGCCCCAGTCAGTGAGAGTGTCTTCCACTGACTCCAGAGGGTTAAGCAATACTGAAGACGGCTCTGTGATCTTAAGGATTATGCAAGTCTGCTGCATTTAGTCAAGTTAATCCGGGGAACTGGAAGAAGTTAAATAGTACATTGTCTGACTAGCATAGAATTTTGACAGTTTTTGATAGCATTGAGATGAGTCGTGTCCCTGAATGCTCTGAGACAGGTGAGCGTTGTGTGGAAGTCGGGGGAGCCTCACAGCTGGCCAACCCCCCCTCTCTGGACGCTCCCTGCCGCTGCATGTGACTGGGAGACAGAGGCTCAGGATACTATGCTGTCCTGCGGTCTGCCTTCCCTGTCCCCCCTACCCTCCCTGAGTTCCCTCAGTGCCTGTTGCAGGCCGTAAGGGTGAAGGGAAGCGCAAACAAAGACAGCAGAATCACGCTCTTTACGATTTTAACGATGATGAGTAATGAGTGATTTTAATAGACAGTATGCTTAAGAATTGTCAGTGATTAAAGTGGATGACAAACAACACATAGAATGATTTAGGACGATCATGGATAACATCCATCCATTTTCTAGGTGGGGTCATACTGACGAAAAGCCAACCCTAAGACGCGTAGCCTAATTTAGAAAATTTTCCTGGTGGGTTTTATTTTGGAAGAAATTGAATTATATGTGAAATTACAACAACTATAAGGGAATTATTTTTTTATTTTAAACAATCCTGATACGTCCATGTTTAAATATATCACATCCACCAGTCTTGTAACCGTGTATCCTGGCCAGGGTCCTGGGGAGCGGGGGGGGGGTGCTTAGGAGGCACACGGGTCTGTATCTCAGGGCACATAAATACACCACCACACAACGTGGACCATTTAACCGCATGTTTCTGGACTGCAGGAGAAAAGAAGAGTAGCAGAGGAAAGAGGCACGGTGCATGGAGACGACACAAACTGCAGACGGAAGGAGCGAAGGCAGCAGTCAGAATCGCAGCCCTGGAGGTCTGAGGTAACAGCTCTACCCCTTCAGCACCCCCACCCCCCCATTCCTTCATTTGGATTCAAATTACAGCATGATAAACCTACCATATTTAAAACGGAAACAGAGGCCTTCAATATCTTATGAGTGCTGTTCCACTTCGGTTGTTAAGAGGAAAACCCAAAAAAACAATAAAGAATGGAACAGGAGGCAAATGAATTCCAAGGGCTATATCTCCTGCTCTTTGATGTTCACTCTCCCTACTGTTGTCTTTGGTATGGCGAAGTTGCTGGCTGGAATCCTTTCCAAGGCTTACTGTGATATAATGTTGATTGTAAATGCCAAAGAGAATTGACTCTCCTTGTATTGTAAGTTGGAAGTAGCCCGAGTAATGATTCATATGAGAGTTGCCAAACACTGCAGCACAAGGTTCTGTCGCCGGGCAGGACATGGCGGAGGTTTCCAGGGCGACCGTGCTTCATACGCTGAGCTGTCAGTGTCGAAGGGGGTCTCCGGGACCCGCTGGCAATGACTGTCAGGGTGAAAAAAAGCATGTCGTCATCATACATGTAATTAGCTATATCCTCCTATATCCTCGTCTTTGTATACGAGGATATAGGATATCAATCACGGTTAATCCATTTTAAGACACAGTGAATCAGTCCATGATCTCAGAGTGGCAGGATGATTCAATGAGGAACAATGTGTCACAACACATCATGTAAAACTTTCTAAGATTCTCTGACAAACATACACACCGGAAAGAGTCTGGAAAGTTCATCTTCAACAGTATAATTTCCACTTAATGTTGGGTGTTTCTTTTTTCACCAAAGTATCATTTAAATCTTTTAATACAGCAGTTTTATCACCACTGCTTTGATCTATTACCATATGTGGCACTTTCTGTAAAGGTTGTTTGGCGAACGTGACAGATGGACTATGAGTGTGATGAAGAAGCATCAACAAAACTCTGCTTTCAAGTCAGGAGATTTACAGCAGCAGGGGCACCACGGGAAGGTTCCGAGTTAAACGCCTCCAGAAGACGACAGGCTGTCCGGTAGCTGAGCTGCCTGCCCTGTGCTGGGTCCCTGTGGCCTTTTATTGTGCTGTCATTGGTTCATATGTCGGACTCCTCACTGGGTACAGAGTGATTTGAATTGTGCTCTTGAATACAGAGCACTGTGGGTCATTTTTCCCAGAGAGACTGACTGTTGGGAAACCCTTTCATTATTCAGATCAAAATTTGTAGTGGCGACTAAAAATATAATGAGGAGTTTTCAGTGTGAGTATTTACACGGAATTCCAGCCTAATCTGCGGGTGAGTGACCGTTCACACTGTAGTTCCTGGCATCTTCCACAGCAGTCTTTTCCATTTGCATATGATTTTACTAACTTTTATGTCCGTTTTTGTTTGAGCTCTGCCTATAAAAATGGTAATAATTCATGTAAGGAATTTGTGGCATCAGCTTCTCCAATGTGTGTTGCAGATGTGCAAGATCTGTAACCTATAATGAAAATCAAAACCTAGGGTACAGAGAATGTGTGTGTGTGTCTATGTGTGAGTGTGTGTGTGTCTGTGTGTGAGTGTGTGAAACAGGGGGACAGGTTCGATCGCATGCCACGAAGGCTGACACTTTTTCAGCTATGTGGTGTATGTTTTCTAAGCAAGATGCAGATTTTTGTAAACCCAGGTGATCCAACTGTATAATTCTGGATGGCTGAACTTTCCAAGAATTTTTACTTGTGCTTGGAGCCTGAACTGGGAATGACAAGATAGTAACTCACCATGAGAATTACTTCTTGGGAAATTACTACTTTTTGGAGATCCTCGAACTCTGCTTCCTATAAACCCAATGGAGACATTCACACTTGCAGGATTATTGAACAGCATCCATCAATATACGCACACACCCTTCATAATTATCAAATGCTTTTCCCAAATTTTGTGCTTCTGCTTCCCTGTCAAATTCACTTCATATTACTGAGTCGCTGAGGGCTGCGGTGTTTAGGTTTTGACCTGCATATGGCTGTTTGCCGATCAGAACATGCTGCTGGACCTTAGTGCCTACTGGCCTGGTGAGCTGAACATTCCGCTTATTCTCAGTTGTATGAGCAAAAGAAAACAATCATATGAAACAATTGGGTGAAAGAAAGAGTCAGATTTTAAAAGTCAAAACAGGTACACTCTGATTGGTTTCATTGCTGTGCTTTACTTCAGGTTTGCATAACCTTTCCATTCTGAACATTTCTGGCTGAAAAAAAAAAACTTAAAGTAGCTGATTGGTTCGTAATGTGAATCAACATTCAGTAATACCCAGATTTGATTGCTTTCTGATCACTCTTTCATTCTCCTTAAGTACGGTGAATGAAAGAGAAAAGCTTACTGTCTTTTTGAGTAAATGTTGAGTATTTCACATTGACTCAGATGCCACCACCAATGTACGCGGCATTCCGGGCTCACCAGAGATGAATCTCATAGTGTAATATGCCAGGACAGGTAGGAGCAGTAGTTATATAGACCACTCACAAGTAGCATGTTAATCCAGGAAATATGAGCACTAATTTGTGTTTGTAATTGGCTGAGGCGGAGTTTGTCTGCTCCCTGTATGTTTAAATGCTCCACCCCTGGGTGTCTAGGCTTCCACCCAACCGTGTACAGGAGTGCAGTTCATATGAGTTAGTGCCGCGTAATTACCCAGTACCCAGCAGCCTGTGTTTGTTCAATGTTATTCATTTCTGACATTCTAAGACCCTGTAGATTGGCCCGAATTACTGACAAAGTCATTTTCACTCATCTCACCAAATTAATACCACAGTATTTTTTCTTGCTAATTCCAATGGCTCGTAAGTCTTCCACAGTCAAGCACAAAGACACTTGCTGGCATTTGGTTATATACCGTTATCTGTAATATAAGCCAAGACTCCCCCTTGCTCTTTCTGCGCTGATCTTACCCACCCTTGGTCTTGCCGTCAGTTTTGATTCGCCTGTTGCTGCTATGCTGTCTGTCAGTGGTCAGCTCTGCCCCCCCATCACCTCTCTCCGCTTCGCAAAAAAAAAAGCAGCCCCCAAATGACATGTTTGTCAGCACTTCCGATTACAGTGCTGCTTCGTGCCGAGGTTTAGACGGTACATAAAAACTCTGGTCCCCATCAACAAGGCGTTGAACTATATCTATTTCTGCAACGGCACATTCAACATTCCTCTGTAAGCTCAATGGTGATGATGATGGCAGAGAATCTTTTTAATCTTCCTCTCTGAGAAATATCTGGCCATTCCTTAATGCCATACACACTGGCACCAATGTAATCCAAGTATTTTCTTAACAAACACCTTGGGGTATGAACCTTGGCTTACATTTCTCACTAAATTTAAGCCACTAGGTCCTTAGATTAACCCCACCCTCATAAGTAACTCTGGCATCCACCCCAGTGTGACTCTCCGGCACGTTACAGCCATAGGTATTGGCAACGGGAAACAGGACGCAACAAGCGTCAATGGACACATTTATAAAGCTCACAGTGTCACATCTCACTAGTCCCCATTGACCCCGAACCGTGCTGTAATTACAGAACGTGAAATTCACTTTAACTGGGCCTTACATATCTAGGGCTTTGTTTTCTTTGCATAGATACTGCCTAACTGTAAGCCAAGAGCATACAGGAGTACATAAGATAATGCAGAGGCGAAATGAAGGGCCGGCAGCCTATGTTTGTTTAATATGATTCACTTCTGTCTTGTAAAACTCTCTCCATTGGCCATAATAACTCACTGACTCATTTTCATTCATGAAGCCGGTTGATTCTAGAGTAGTTTTTTACTCCTGGGAGCTGGATTTCTAGTGAAAATCTATGATAGTTTAGTTTGGCAATAGGGAAGTGAAATAATTCCATGGAAATTCTATGGAAAAAAGTATGAGGAGAGACAGACCCCAGGCACACTTGTTAAGGACCACTCCCTTTTTTCACTGGAATAATGTCGGAATGCTTATCTAAAATGGCCCCCATGTGAAGAGATGAAGAATAGGGATTTTTAAATGGAGCTGCGCACCTGCCACAGCGAACGGCCTTGACCGTTTGTCACGGTGAATCATGGGGCACGTTCTTCCCGCACAATTAGACAGTCATTCTCCCGAACTCTAAAGGAAACAAATATACGGCTGCAGGTTAAAGGTGTGTGACGCATGAATTAAAATGCGCTCATTTCCAGAAATGAGCTGTGCGTTGACCCGCCTTTGGAACAGAATGGTTCTTAAATGTTTCATGTAAAGAATTTCCACTATTTCTTTGCGAGCAGAAAGCTGATGGCTTGGTGCCTCACTTTCCATTAAAAGCCTTAGAGCCACTACTGTTGAAATCTTTAAAATGAACTCAAACGTTAAAGGTGAGTGTGAGAGATGCAAAACTCCCACTTCTGCCCCTGCAGGTGTGCATCTGAACAAACCTACACAGAGTGATTTAGTACAGGACCAGTACAGATACATGTACTCCAGATACAATACACTTCAAGTTGTTTATGTAACACTCTTGCAAATATGTCTAGAAAACATTATAGATCTATCGATAGATTTTCTTATATCATAATACTAAGAAAATACAATTTATGAGTATTGAGAGTATTGTTTAGTGCCCTTTTAGTTTATACTTTTACATTTGGCTTTGATTTTGTTTGTTCTTAGCATTTTTTCTAGAGTGTTCTGGTTTGAACCTGAAGTACATCGGCAATGCCTAAGATAGGCTTTATAGCCTCAGGTACTGTGCATAGTTTCCTAACTATAATGGCGATTACTGCTCCAGCCAGACACGTAGCATCTAAGAGGTAGAACATTTTACGATGGTACCCTCCTTCCAGTCATGCTAAACTGCCAGCACTTTAGAACAACTGGCATCAAAACAACAGAATTCCACATTAAAGGCAACATGTAAGAACCAAGACCTTTATGATACAATGAGAAATAATATGTGGCAACCACAACAAAAACAGAATTACAGAAGACTGCACTCCTGCTGTACCCTGTGTGTCTTTCACTGAA